CCCGGTCGGTTCGCATTCTGTCCCTCTCCTAGTCAGCATTTAGATTCCCTCTTATCCTTAACAGCTTTCCTATGATATATCAAAGTGTATCGAATCGCCGGGGATCTATGAGTCTCGGGACTTTCTCAGTCGACTCGGAATACCAAGTCGAGTCGACGGGGTCACCTTCAGTCGTTGGTAGACCCTAATGAGCTTATCCTGATTTCCAGAGAAGTCGACTTTTTCTAGTCGACACGTGGAAATTGGCCGGGGGATGCCTGAACCCCTGGCCAGAGATGTTATAGGGAGTCTACGGAGAGAGTCGACTTTGCCCAAGTCGACTCGGTTATTTCCGAACCGTTGATCATATAAACCGTTATACGACAGTATGGCTATATCAAACCTGATGGTGAAATCAGTTAATGCAATATGTTGTTCGCTATCCGCTATCAGTCAATAGCCATACGAGGCCATTATTGTAGAGAGGCTATTGTAGCCTAATCTCTGTTCTAAAAATTGGCCTAGGTGACCGACTAGGCACTAGGCGCTGCCGACCGCCTCCGATTTGCATAAATCGACTGAAAATATCGGTCAGATGGCTAGGCGGCGCCTAGACGGGCCTAGGCGCTCCTAGGCGAGCTTGGCGGGCTCGACAGCCAAGTGGCTTGGTGGCGCCTAGGCGGACCTAGGCGTTCCTAGACGGGCTCATCGACAATTTTTCAATTTAATTTATTTTTATTTTTTTAGATACTAATTACATTATTTTGTTATCATGTATTCTTTATAAATATTAATATTATTTTTGAACTTAGATGTGTTGATTTATTATAAATTTAGATAGTTTTGTTCTGTAAATACTGAAAATATATAAAAAATAAGGTATTTAATCTTAATTTCTAGGCGCCGACTAAGCCCCATTTAAGCGCTTTAGGCGCTGGTCGGGTGCCTAGCTGGCACATAACGACTTTTAGTACACTGAGCCTACTACGAGCAAGTCTTACTGGGTGGATGCCATTTTGAATAAAAATAATGCATTTTTGTATGAAACATTTCAATTTTTTTATTTTAAATTTCTATTTTTATTTTTTGAAAAATATTTTTATATATAATTTTTTGATTATACATAAATTTATTACCGCCACTTATTAAAATTTAACTTAATGAATTCAATATTAAAATTCCACTTTCCCAATAAATGGATCTAATTGTGTTTTTAAATTACATTCATGATGAAGATAGATGGTGGTGTGTTAACAACCTCAATCCGGTCTGACATCCCATGAAACATCTTTAAACCGTCGAAATTACCTGCAAAATAGCGTTGCAGGTTGTCACGCATAGAAGCTCCGATACTCAAATCAGTATTTGGGAATAAAGATGTATATGAGTCTACAATATTGAGAAATGATGTGTAGAGAAACTATGATCATACCTCATCACATTATATAGAATTGTTACTTTAAAACCCAAGATTTGGCCGAACTTGCTGCTTGAGTGCCCGAACTACCCGACCACATTACCCATGTGCCAGGATTGCCGCATTATGTTATGCACGTATCATTTATGACCTAATTATATTTGTAGTTATCCATTATCTGATGTGTTCATACTGGTTTACCTCATTAGGTAATTGTTATAGGCATTGTCGAGCTAACAACTCAGTTTCTTCTACACTTAACTGTTTTGGTCTTCCATAAGGAAGTCCGCCTTTTAGATCTCACATCCACCTCTTCACTTCCAGGTCAATTTTTGTCAGATTGCATAACACCGTCATGTAAAATCTGGCAGACTAGATCGCATACAGGCTTACCTACTCACACCACTATTTCTGGAATCAAATGGCATGTAAGCCATCCAAACCCGGCGCCTTTAATGGCGGCTCTCTTATGCGGGGCGAGTGGAGCTTATTCCTAGAGTCTTAGCCTGACTTACTGCTGAACCGGTTTGTCACTAAGGCCCTTATTAACATGATATTCTCTCAACTTCGAGTCTTTTCATGTTCCCCGACCTCTGGCCAACCGCTCAAGCCTCTCGAGCTACTCTCAGGTCACATGAGGTCTGGTGGTTGGTGATATATCACATAAGCATAGCTCGATTGAACCCGCCATGGCCAACTCGGTTTGTAGTTTAAAGACTAGCTAGGCTAGTTGGTTTAGTAGGCTGTTTGGGCTAGGAGTATGAGGGATCAAGCAGCTCGAATAGCTAGGGCATGCGTTTGTTGTGTTTTTGTCGTATTATTCATGTGATTTTCGTGCCATAGTCGTGTCTTTTTTATATATTTATTAAAAGTTAACTGGTGTATTCTATCTTTTTTTTTCGTATATTTTTATGTTCGTCGTGTGTTTTAATGTTTTGACGTATTTTCTCGTATATTTTGGTGTTGATTGGGTCCGCATTGCAATGGCTCAAACGGACCTATGCTCGCAGAATCACGTGTCTATGCTCGATTTTAGGACTTTGCTATATTTTTTGTGTCCGTCTTCCTAAGCTTTGCAATGGCTCAAACAGACCTATGCTCGCAGAATCATGTGTCTATGCTCGATTTTAGGACTTTGTTGTATTTCTTGTGTTCTTAAGTGTTTGGAGTTAAATTTGTGCCTATCTTGATATAAATGTCTCGACTTTATTTAAAGCGTTGTCATTTAGTTAGAAAAGCTCGATTTAATTACCTATGATCTTATTGCTAGCATGTTCCTCTTCATTTATTTTCATTTTTAATTATCAAGTCAAGGGGACTCCGAATAATAACCAAAGTTCAAATCTTTCTTTCAAAGTTCGAATCTTTACCCGATTTCTCTAAAATAATCTTAGTTTCAATTAGTCTAAAATCAACCTCAATCACCATGCCTAGTATGTTTAGGACTTTATTTGCTCTTTTTATGCTTTTGGACAACTAATTGGTAGACGAAACTCTGAAGAGTCTTCTTTTGAGAATTACATGAGTTCGAATAAATCAGTTATCATCCTAATTGTGCGCGCTAAAAGAAACCAAACAACACGTCTCTAGCTCGAGAACTAGAGAGCTCGCACAAGTTAGGTAGCTCTATGAGATTGGACATTTAAGAGCTCGAGCATCAAGGAGCTCGATTAATGTAAGTATATCTGTAGCTTGGGCATTAATGCGTTCAGTTAAGTGAAGTATACCAGTAGCTCGGACATTAAAGAGCTCGACCAGGTTAGGTATATCTGTGGTACAGATATTAAAGAGATCGGATAAATAAACTTGTCCAACAACTCATACATATGATAGTTTGGATACGGTAACGAGGTAATTGGCCTGAAGAGGAAATTAATCGACCATCATAGTAGGTCAAGTTCAAGTTGTTAACAAAGGACACGCGTATAATCATGAGTAAAAGAGATGGATGATCTGGCAGAAGAGAATTACCAAGTAATTGACGGGCAGACCTAAGGTTAGCCTAATAACCGACGAACAACCCTTTTGCGCAGTCGAGGCAAACGGGCAGGCCTCCAGGTGGTCGGGCAAAACAAAGGTAAGTTAGGAAACCAATAATCTTCTATAAATAGGTAAAATTTAGAGAAGATAATAACGACTAATCACACTTTATATACTTTGAACTTTCAGTATATTTTCATACAACTTTTCATATCACCTTAATTACTGACTTGATCGTTGGAGGTTTAACGCGGGAAACATCTCTCGGCGTCTTCACATGTCTCTGAAAAGAAAATTAGTCAAGAAATTGTGGAGAGCCGATTCGAGGCACAACTACACATCAGTTGATATAGTATACTATATCATGCACATGGTCTCAAACTAGTTTCGTACTACACGCGCGGTCACTTTATTTAACCATACTTATATAATATTATTACTTCACTATTAATTAACAATGATAATGCTCCCTACTTACGGTGTGCACATGTTAATATGTCCACCGCTTATGTAACATTCAAACATTAGTGATATTAATATGTTCAAAAATATACATCACCAATGTATGCATGCCACATAAACGGTGAGCATATTAACATGTGTTTACCGTGGGTAGGTGAGCATATTAACAATACTCAAATTTGGGATTCATGTGTGTGATATATATGAATAATCTTCCTAACAGGACAAGCTCCTTATTTGTCGCCCCAATTTTATTTCATTATTTTTATTTTTATTGAACACAAAAAATTAATTATCAGAGAGTCAAAAAGCGGCTGATGAGGCTCCTACCACGCACGTCCCAACACCGACGTCGTTGCAGAGTTGGTCTCCCCATAAATCTTGCCCTCATGCACCATTAATTGAACAAACAACCTACAAATTAATATATTACATTATAATATATATGTAGTACTATATTTATTTAATTTCGATCTTTATGAACTTTGGAAAAAGTCCAACGTACAACTCTGTCTCTCTCTGTCTCTCTCCCCTTTGAATTTTTCCCTTTGCATCAATTGACTTTCTCCTTCTTTTTCATTTATTAACTTCCTCAACTTGACATGCACACACACACACACATATAAATAAACCCTTATCTCCTTTTCTCTATTCCCCTCAACACCTCATACATTCTTATCTTCTAAAAAAACACAGTGCTAATAATAATAACAGTAAAACAAATTCGTTATAGTCATCAATGGAGGACGAGTACGACAACGTGGAGATCCCGTGCTACTTCATCTGCCCCATCTCCATGCACCTCATGAAGGACCCCGTCACCGTCTCCACCGGAATCACCTACGACCGCGAAAGCATCGAGAAGTGGCTCCACTTGTCTCGCCGGAGCAAACCCGAGCCTCTCACCTGCCCTGTCACCAAACAGGCCCTGGACGACCCGAGCCTGACTCCGAACCACACCCTCCGGCGGCTGATCCAGGCCTGGTGCACCCTCAACTCCCTCGACAAGATCCCCACCCCTAAGCCTCCGCTAGAGAAATCTCAGATCGTCAAAATATTGAAGGAGGGCGAGGAGTCGCCGGGATCGAGGATCGTCTGCCTCCGCCGGCTCAGGTCCATCGCCGGCCGGAATCAGAGCAGCAGCACAGATCTCCGTGCGGCTGGGGCCGTCGATTTTCTTCTGTCGGTTGTTGGGGGGAGGGACGATGCCGACGAGGCGCTGGACGTGCTGCTGGAGATGGACCTTTCGGATTCGGATCTGAGGGCCTTTTTCGGGTCGGATCCGGATGGCGGGGACCTGTTGCAGCCGTTGATTCGTGTGTTGGGGAATGGGGACTGCAATAGTCGGGCTCGGGCGATGTCTCTGTTGAAATCGGCATTCGATGTGGCCGACCCCGCGCATTTGATCGGGGCCAGGCCTGAGGTTTTTGTTCAGACGACTCACATTTTGCGCGACAGGTATTCGGATCGAGATTGGTGCATGCTCTAA